GAGATCTTTTAATAAGTTTGAGCAAATAACTATGTGGTATTTGTTTACCACTAGCTATTCCATATTCATCATCATTTATATCATTGGAAAGTGCAGGAGTATTAACTCGTTTTTCAACTCTTCGACTCGTTTGATTTGTCGTTGACGATGGTCGAAGAGGTGGATGATGTCTAGCAGACGATGATGACGCCATTTAAATCTAGAATAATATAACAAAAAAAAGTTATCATCGAACAGAATTATAAATCAATAGGTGGAGGAGTTTCTGCTTCAATAACTTCTCCTCGTCGTTCATGAACTTCAGCACATGGTTTTGGGTCTTCTGGATGATTAGGTGAAACAGTTTTTGGTATATCATCGTCACTATCTATTATTACTTTTTGTTTTCTTTTTGGTATATTCTGTTCAAAAGCTTTTTTCCAATCTCCTAATTGAATATAATTTAAAAGTATTTCCATAACATGATTACAAGCAAGTACACGACGTGTATTTAATTTAATAAATTCATCAATTGGTAAACGTGCATGTCGCCATTTATTTGCCAAAGCTAATTGATAACATAAACCTTTTCGAGCATTATGATCAACAATTCCACCAATAACATAAACAGTTCGTTCATCAAGTGGTTCTGTACTACTTAAAACATTTTCTGATTCACTTGTTAAATAAAGTATATCATCATGAGGAAATACGTTTTCTAATGGTTCATTTCGTAAATAAATATCCCAATTTTTTGCACAATTTGTTTCAAGACGTTTTTCTAATTGACCATTAATATTTGTTATATAGAATTGACATGGTGTTGGTGAACGACGATTTGCTGAATAACAAAAAGCAATTTGTTTTTGTAAACTACTTATATCTTTATCATTCATCATTGAATCATATCGACAATCAATACAAATTCGAATATGACATGAAGAATTTTCCATACGATTAGATTTAAGACCATGACGAGTAAGAAGAGATTGATCTTCGGATTGTTTTAATTTCTCAAGACGACGTTGTTTTTGTTTAACTTTTTCTTCTTTTCGTTTTAATTTACGTCGTTCAAGTAATAATGCATAACGTTTTTGTTTTCGTTGTTGATTTTTAGATATTTTTGGTGGTTTATCAACATCACTTGTTGAACTCGATGCTTGTTCTTCTGTAGTAGACATCTAAATTTATCCAAAAAAAAAAAAAAGAATCTTCAATTAACTTTTAAGAATAAATATAAAATCAATTTCATATCTTGAAAATCTACTTAAATTTGATTAAGTAAAGAATTATATAGGAAAAGAAAGTAGTCTTATCAAATAGGGAAATTTGTCTAATGATATTCTTTCAATTAACTATTGATGAAAGTTGCTCATAATATCTATGCCGAATTTTTAGTACTTTTTTTCTATTCATGATTTATTTGGTTGAAACTAATGATGTAATATTTACCAATGTTACACATATAGAAAAATTTGTTTACAATACTTTTTTCTCTTTTACATAGTAATCTTACTGATTCTTATTTCTATTGAACAAAATGAATAGGTTTATAAACACGTCTACAATTATAATTCTTATCAATCTTTATCCTTCGTGATTCATCTTTTCTCTATGTCGTCAAATTAAGTCTTACATTCCAATGATGAAAATATTCGTAAGATGTCACTAATTTTAAATTTCTTGTTTTCTATTGGTTTATACTTCTATCGGTCATAATAGTGCATCCATTGTGTGCGCACTTATGCATCCTCTATTCTGAAGCATAGATGCTTGGTTTTTTTTGCTTTACTATATAAAACTATCTAATATTGAAACCATTAATGTGGTCAAAAAGAAAAGTTTGTTCAAATGCGCGAATTATTATTTTTTCTTGTTTAAGATGTCATTAAATCGTGTTAATCTTGTTGATTATAATAGTCCATCATCATCATCATCAACACAACGTGTACTTCATTGTACAATATGTAATATATATCCTCGAAGTCTTCAAGCTTATGTTGAACATTTGGATATTCGACATCGTGATGAAGAAGTTGAAGTTGCATGTCCAGTTGATGGATGTGAAGAAACATTTCCATCTGTGGCTCGTTTTAAAATTCATATACGAAAAATTCATTCAACACCAACAAATACTAAAAGTTCAACATCAACAAGTGGACTTCTTTCATCAACAAATGCAACAACAATAAGAACAAATAATGATATTGATGAAGCATCATCAGATGATGATGATGATAATACACATCGTCGAAATAGTTATCTTAAACGACCAAAATTAGAAGGAAAAAAACGTTTCGGAACAGTGAGTCGAATGACAAAAATTGAACCAAATGATTCAATGGAATATGGATTAAAAAGTGAAGATGAATTTGCTGATGTAAAATTTTTCTTAAATTATATAAAAATGAATTTATTTTGTTTTTTGTAATCTATATAATTTTCTATAGATTCAATTTGAAGATCCAGAATGGATGCCAGTCTCTGAACGAGTATAATTTTCATTTAAAAGTTTTCTTTCTTTTTTTTTTTTTTTTAAAATAAAATTTTCTATATTAATTAGCGTGGTACATTATATACACCAAATATGAGTTTAATGGGTGAAGATGAAGAAAGTGGAAGTGCAATGACACCTGTTTCTCGAAGTGGTGGACGTGTTCGTTGTTATGCACCCATTCCACATCCACCTCAATTACCTGAACTTTCAGAACGTGTTCAAACATGTTTAGAAAATGGTAAATATTTGTTTGTTTTGTTAAATAACGAAATAAATTATTTATTTTTTGATTTTATAAATAGGACAAGCAGCACAAGTATTACAAGAATTTATAAATGAAACAGCTGAATTTTTTATGAAAACTTATCCACAATTAAAAACTGGTCGAGAATATCGTAAAATTGGTTTAGCATTAATTAAAAAATATCCTTGTTTGGCTGAAAAAGGCAATCATCTTAAACCTGAAGTAAGAAATTAATTTTTTGTATCGATTATTTTTATGATTGATCCTTTTAGGCTTTACTCTGTCGTAAATTATCAATCAAAATGCGTAATATGCGTCAAAAAATTCGTGCTAAATCAGGTCGAATTGAAAAAAATGATAATCGTATACATCAAAATAGTAAATTTATTATTAAATTAAAAACCCAAAAAACATCTATTGTTTTATTTAAGATGATGCTTATTATGATGCAATAACTGCTAAACTTCGTCAGATTCAAGGTCAAGTTCAATATTCAACATTATATAAACAATATTTATCAAAAACACATACTAGACGACGTGAATGGTTGAGTAATAATGCTGATCTTAATCTATATGGAATTTTACAAGAATTACCATTCATGGCTGGAAAAGAATTTGTAAAAATTTTTTTTCTTTGAAATAATAATTAAATATTAGAAAGTTTTTGTTTTTTTTAGTTAACTGGTGAATATGGTCTTTTACGTGGTAGACATATATCATCATTTAGTAAAACCATTGGTCTTGTACTTGATATATTAACAAAACATTTTGCGATACGAAAACGAGAAAATATGGATTTAACATATCGTTTATGTTTAATGCAATTATGTAGAACATTAAATTGTAATTTTATTATACAAAATAAACAAGTAAGAAATAATATAATAATAAATAGTTATATTTACAAATATATAAATAATACATTAGAATAGTTAGCAAGAATAGAAAAATGAAAATATATTAGATTCTTTTTTTTAGAACAATGATTCTTTGTCATAACATATGTTTTGCTAATGAGAGAATTGATATCTACTGTCTGAACTCAACATTGGATCTTTTTGACCCAGTTGTAAGTATGTACGGAAAAATCAAAAAGCGAAATTTCAACGTAAAATTTTCAACTAGAAAATAATGCTCGTTTATTGAGATATTGAGTTTATCTGAAAATTCAATATCTCGACAATAAAACATTGTTTTCGGATATTTTACAGATCAGTCGGCCTATAGATAGACGAGATTTCATATTGAATTTCTGCTTTTTGATTTTTCGGTATGTATCTAAAACTGGGTTCAAAATTCAACAAAACGATTCTAACTTTGCTTTACAGATCCATGATGACGAATCTTTTTAGACTTTTTCTAGTCTTACTGAGATTTCTCTGTGGACTCAATATGAGCTCAAACGGCGGGTATCAATTTCAATAGTTCTCAGTAATATTTTGACTAAAGATAATCGAGTGCAAAATTTTTATTACAAACTCAATATTCACTTTAATGTATGTTAATTTATATTATTGATCAGTTGAGTGTTTTCGATGCGTTTATCTTTGATAGAAAAAAAAAAGCCTTTAAGTATGATAATTATTTCGAGAAGTCATAAAAATGTGAATGTTTTAAATTGAATTTCATTTGAATATCTTTTTTTTTTCTTTTCAAGACTGACAGTGCGAAAGGAAATGATAAAGAATCAGATGATAGCAGTCATCTACGATTAACTGTAATGGATTTTGTTAATGGAACATCATCATATTTTCTTTTCTATGGTCGAAAACCACTTTGTGAATTAGCAACAGGTCAAGGAATGTTAAAACAAGCATTACTTCTTTTTCTCGTTACATTTGAAGTCTATATGGTTGACATACCAGAAGAATACTATGGTAAGAAAAAAAATATATATGAATATTTTTTTCCTGGTGAAAAACAAAAATAAAATGGTTTTTTTTGTTTTTTTAGAAGCTGTAAGTTTACTTCGACTTGTCGTATTTGGTAATGTTTATGAAAATGAAGTACCTGAATTAGCTGAAGCTCAACGTTTAGTAGCAATTATAGAAGATGGTTTAAAAACAGCAAACTTATCTTGATTATATAAAATAGATATCTATTTTAAATATACTTTTTTTTTTCTTTTTCCTGTCATTTGTTTGTTTGTTTTTTTTTCTTTCATTGTATATAAATAATATTCGCAACTTGACTTGCCGCTAAAACAAGATAATAATATATTACTTGATTTGAAAAGTTTTTTGTTATTATTAGTTAATTTCTATTTTCAAATTTAATCATGTGTGAATTATTTTCATCGACTTATAAATTAAATCGATCATCGGGTATTTATTGATAGATTTATAAAAAAAAAAGGAAAAGAATTTTTGAGAGTTTATTTTAAACATATTAAGTATCGTTATGTGATCGATTGAAACAACGATATGGAAATTGTCAACAAAATTTACAAGCATTATTTCATGTTGGTTAAAAGAAAAACTTTTATAGTAAATATTAGTTTGATTTATCTAGGATGAAATTCCAAAGAAAAATACTCGAGATATTGAATTTATTCGATATATTGTTAATTATATTATTGAACAAGCTAAACATAATATTGTTATATCGGAAGTTTGATTGAAATTTATCCAAGTTTTAGAATAAGAAATCATTTTGATTTTTTTTTTATAGTTACCTGATGTTATTCGAACCTTACACAATGAAGTAAAGGATATTATTCAAAAAAATGTAAGATAAAATTTTACATATATTATTATAACGGATGATCTAGCAAGAATAAACGTCTCAAGATTTTGCATATTTCTCAGCAGCTTTTTAACATACCAAGACAATTTTTTTGCTATACATTCTTCGTTCGATTCTCTAGAAATTTGCATATTTTACTTAAACGAAACAGTATGCCTTGTTTTTTTAAAGCTCGACGAAACGAATAGATTCAAAATACGTCACTTTTAAAATACTTTTTTTTCTTTTGTCAAACTTTTTTCATTGAGCTTTGTGGATGATCTTATCAACTTTCGTTCTTAATGATATAAGACTTCAATCAATTATCATTCAAAAACTAATTCTGATAAAGTTTTCAGAAGCATTGAAGACTTAATTATTTGGGCAAATAACGACTAATCGTAATCAATAAGATGTAAATTGACACAATTCTGTTGAACCTTTGTACATATGAACATCTTTGACATTCTTACGCTTTTGATTCCATAGAAGAGAATATTATTTTTTTGAAAAAACAAACTATAGAGGTAGTGCTTTTAAATACGGAAGATTCCTTATGAATAATCAAAAGCAGAAAAATCCTTAAGATGATCATATGCACAAAGTTTTCAAAGATGTTCTGCCTATTTCTATCTTATGGATTAGCAGTAATAGTTAAGTCTTCGATCCTTCTGAAGACTTCATTAGAACTAGTTTAAGGATGATAATTGAGCGAAGTCTTGCATGATTAAGAGTGAAAGCTGACAAGATCATCTATAAACCCCAATGAAAAAAGCTGGATAGAAAAAGAATTTTTGAATGTAACGTATTCTGAATTTTTTCGTTTCATTAGATCTACACAAATAAGGTATACTATTCCATATAAGTGAAAGATGCAAATTTGTAGAGAATCGAACGAAGAACCTAGCAAAAAGAAAATTATTCCATTGTTTTGGAAGTAGGCATGCATTCATCATCGCCATTGAACTACAAACAGACATGGTTAGCAGTCGACAACAATCTTGTACCAAGCAACAGTCTTTCCAATCTCATCAATCAGCCTTGCGATGCAATCGGGATACTTTGAGCATGGAAGACCTCGCTTACGTTTGTTGTGACTAGGTTTTGATGTATAAAGAGCATACAAATGGGTAAATTCGCTTGGAGTTCTGCAAAGACAATGTCTGATAAAATATAGTTGTCTACGTTACACTTTTCGTAGATAGTATTGTTCGATATTCTGCTAATCCAGCTTTTATAGTTATGTAATAATATTGAGAGACATGAAGGATGCACCAAATTCGAGCCAAGAATTGGAATTGGTGCATTCCTAGTTGAAAGATGCAAAATATTGAGAAGTACATTCTTTATGAATCATCTGTTATAATTAAATTCGAATGAATAGAAAATGATAACATTAGAAGAAGCGATTGCTCATGTACAACAAGTTGGTGCAATGAAATATCCATATTTAAAAAAATTAAAAGTAGATCATTTTAAAATTTTATTTATTATTAATGAATAAAATAAATTATCATAGCCAATATCTACTGAAGATTTTGTCAATGAAGTTATGCGTGAAGTATTTAATCGTCTAGGAACTATTATCACTTTAGATATGGTAAATATTTATATTTAGTTCCATAGAAATAATGAATATCAAATTAGTATTTTAGATTGCAAATATTTGTCAATTTACTACTTGTTCTACTAAACAGTTACTCCATGCAATGGTTTGTAGATCATAGAAATATTTTTTTTTTCAATCATTTTATTTTTTACATAGCCTACGATTGATGTTCATGAGGCAGCTACATTAATTATGGAAGATATCTCACGTAATCAATATAAAATCAAGAAAAATCAAAGTATGATTTTTCAATGCTTATAATTGCTTGTAATTTGTTTCATATTTCAGAGCAAATAAATGTTGTCGACAATACAGTTCTATTGAATCATACGATAAAAGACAAGACAATATCACTCTCACCTAAACATGCATATGAGAAGTCGAAAAGCGCGTCATCGTCCCTTAGTAAAGAACATATGAAGCCTGAATGGAAATCATCAAAATTAATACAAAATTCAAATCAATCCCATAGTAAAACAAAATTAACAGAGCATCGAAATTTATCATTAACAAAGAAAAAAAGTAAATCTTCAAACAGTTCATCGACATCTTACCAATCATCTAAAAAAAGCAATAAAAATCAACAAAATTGGTCCAGTAATCAAATGTAAAATTTTCTACCTTTTATTTCTCTCGATTTACTTTCTAATAAAACTAATACAAAATGGTTCATATTCGAAATTCTCGATAGTAATTATAAAATTTCTAGTGACTCAACTAAAAATCATCTTTTAAAATTCAAAAAATCCAAGAGCCATTTTGCTGAAATGTTTCTGAAAAATCCATTTGTAACAGTGCGACAAAATAAATCAATGAAAAAACCAAAGTCAACAAATGTTTCATCATCGAGTCTTGTATCATTTGATACTTATTCAACAGAAATATGTCCGCTAGCTGAAATTGAACAAAAATTTAACCCAATACTTGAATCACAAAGATTAATCAAAAAACCAGAGCAGAATAAAAGAAAATCAATTATGACAAGTATAGTACAAGAGCAAGTAAAGAATCAAAATCAAGAAATTATTGATCCATTAACAGTAGGCATATAATATTATAAATAAAATAAACATTTTAATTTTACAAGTTAATAAATCTATTACCAATAATAAGTGATAATAAAAATCAGAAGACGAAACTATCCAAATCGAAATCCAATACACAAACATATTCTATTCATTCCGAAGAAGGTATATCATCTAGTCGAATAAGAAGACCATCGAATATGAGTAATAATAGCAAAATCAATACTTTTATTAAATCAAAAAGATCACTGAATAAAATGTCTCAAAAATTCGTCAAACAAATATCTCCACGTACAAGACCGTTAACTAACATTGTTCCTTTTTCTGATGCACTATTCTCTTCAAAAGATTCTCCTGTCACCATTGGAAATATACATTGTCCAGATTTGAAAGAAACTAAAACTCATTCCAAAATGCTTCAGTCTATTCGTTACTACAGTAAACATTGTAATTAACATTCCAACATCAATAATCACAAGAATCAATTGACCGAAATTGACATTAAAAACTGTCCCTTAGAGAATGTATTTAATCATCGATCTATACACCAAATATAATCAATTTGATCTTATTGATTTCAATGTTAATATTATTTAAACAGAAGCATATTTTGTTAATGATTAAACTGTATGACATTATGATTTAATGGTTTTTTTTTTTTCTATGAAAAGAAAAGTAATACCTTCAAGCTACTATTCCAATAGATCTCATATAAGTTCTTTCATCTTATTCTCTCTTCTAATTGAGAACTACGTAGTAATGTGGTTTATTCATTGTTCTAGACGGGCGAAAGAAAAAAAAAAGCGAAGAAAAAAAGAATGTATGCAAAGACATACAAACTATAGAGCGAGCATTACTATTGAAGATCCAACTACTACATTATCGGCAATGAATTGTCGTTCCTAGTTCTTTTCTCTTTTTTTTTTTTTTGCATTGTTGTGTTCTAGTCGGAAAAATACTCGCATTCTGAAATGTTTTTTTTTTTTCTATAGAAAAAAAAAAAAAAAACGAGAAAAAAAAGAAGCACAACTAGGCGGAGTAGGCGCGCGATCGACTGAACGCTGAAAGCAAAAATAGTCAGAGTTGTAATATACTGATGGTAAAAAGTTTTATTTTTTTCTTCTATTCGGTGTACTGTCAATACGAATAGTGACAGAGCAAAAGGAAAGAAAGAAAAAAAAAAGAAAAAAAAAAAAGGTAGCTCCAAATTGTTTTGTGTTTGTATATACGTCGTTACGGACTTTGAACAGCATATGTTATAATGTCTGAATTATCATCTTCAACACAAATATTTCTTTTACTTATATTATTGATAATATGTGTTTTGATTATACATTTACTTATTCGTAAACGTTTTAATTATTTACCAGAAAGTGTTGCAATTATTTACATTGGTGGAATATTTGGTTTAGGTATTAAATTATATAATCAATGGATATCAAAAACTAATGAAACATCATCAACAACAATTGTTCAAACATCATCACCATTATTAAATTCAAATTTATTTTTTATGCTTTTTCTTCCACCAATTATATTTGAACAAGGTTATCATTTACATAAAGGAAATTTTTTTCGAAATCTTGGAACTATATCAACATTTGCTATATTTGGTACAACAATAAATGCATTAGTTACTGGTGTTGGTCTATATTTATTAGGAATAGTTAATTTATCATATAAATTACCATGGAGAGAATGTTTTATTATTGGATCACTTAATTCTGGTATGATGAAATTTAATAAATAAAATTTTATTTTTTGTTTTTTGTTTAGCTATTGATCCTGTAGCTATTTTATCAATATTTCAAGTGCTAAATGTTGATCAATTATTATATATGCTTGTTTTTGGTGAATCAATCTTAAATGATGCTGTAGCTATTGTATTAACAAATGTTATTGTAGAATCAAAAAGACAATTTGAAAATATTAATACAACTAAATTAACAGCTTATTCAATGATTGGTTTATTAACAAGTTCAAATTTGACAACAATTCCATCAATAACAACATCTGTTCGACAACGAAATTATAATAATTTAATTCATCGTGGTGAAGAAAAATCTTTATATGAACCAAAAGTAGATGTATCAACTTTATTTCAAAATGAAAATGATAATAAATATCCTTTAACAAATAATGACATTGAAGATCGTATTAATCCAGATATTTTTAATGATTATCCAGATAAGGATAATATTCCATTAAAGAAAAAAAGAAAAAGTAAGTTCTCAAAACTAAAAAAGAAAAATTGAAAATAAAAATAAAATTTTCTATATTAAATTTGCTTTTATATTTATTTATAAAATAATTTTTCATTATAGTATCATCAAAATTTAAACGAGCTATACAAATCAATAGTACAACAACACCATGGACTACACAAGTTGTTACATCAATTAAAACTTTAATGCAAATTTCTACTCGATTTTCTTTAATGTTTTATTCGTCTGGTTTTCTTGGTCTTATATTTGGTTTAACAAGTGCCTTATTAACAAAATATATGGCATTTGATAAAAGTTCATTATCATTAGAAATATCACTTCTTCTTCTAACTGCATATGCATCATATATGTTTGCTGAATTATTTCATTTATCTGGTATTATGTCAATACTTGTATGTGGTTTAACAATGTCACATTATACACATGAAAATCTTTCAACTGTTGGCCGTCAATCAATAACTGTTCTTTTTCGTACAATATCATTTTTAGCTGAAACTTGTGTTTTTGTTTATTTGGGTTTGGGAATATTTGAATATCAACATGCATTTCATCCAAAACTTATTTTTTGGACTATTTTATTAACATTAATTGGACGTGCAGCACATGTTTTTCCTTTATCATTTGTAATGAATTGTTTTCGATCTAAAAATCATCGAATTACATTTTCAATGCAACTTATTATGTGGTTTGCTGGATTAAGAGGTTAATGATTTGTTCTTTTTTTTTTCTTCTTTGCTTTCGAATGATTTATATTTGTATATGACATGAAAATACCACTTGACCTAATCAATAGAATTATTAGATAAATCGGAAAATATTTTTTATAAGATTAATGTACTGAATAATCTTAGTAGATACTATTCTTCAATGCCGAATAGAATTAGAAAAAAAACATATATATGTAAGAGGATATGATATATTTGAGATAAAGAAAGATTTCATTAGGCATGGATATTTGAAAACTATTTAGTTAAAAAAATATTCATTACGGAAAGAAAAGAGAGACAATCTTATTATTCTTTGTTGGCACATCTTATTATCCGTACTGTCTGCAAAATATTTTTCTTTTTTGCAGATAAAGTGAATAGGACTTTGTTATTAGCAACTATGATTAGTTCCATCTTTGACAGAAACAAAAATAGATATTACTTCTGCATGAATTTATATAGAATAACGAAAATAGAAGAATGTAAGCTCTTGAGAGGAGAAGAATAATATATACAATTGTATAAGATCATTAATACAATGGAAAAAAGGACGTGAAAAAAAATAGACTAAATTTAAGACAAGGAAGCTGGTAGCGTAATTCTTATGGGATTAAGATATGAAACACGATGCTACTGCTGTTGCTAATCTCAAGAAGATTGTTCTTCTTTTTACTTTATCCTACAGAAACGCAATAAGGAAGTAGTTCATCCATTATAACAAGACGTTATTCATATACAATCTGTGAATGTGTATATAAACAATGTCTGTCATGGTCTGTGGAGAGAGGAAACTCATATTTTCACTGTTATACTTCAACCAGAGATGTCCATCGCAGCGCTACAATCAACGCAATCGAACCGCGGCCGCGGTTCAATTACGTTGATTGTAGCGCCGCGATGGGCATCTCTGCCTTCAACACTCCTTTTTGATCGTGGTAAACAAAAAAAAAGAAAGTATTACTTTATGATTTTAAGTTTCACTTCCATTTTCATACATCGTACCATAGATGAATGAATATCAGTATTTAATATGGATCAGATTTTTGTGACTCAATGCGACTCATCAGTTTTTTTTGGTCCAACCTGAGTCGGATTCTAGTATCGACGACCTTTCTCTTTCTCTTAAGAAAAATCAATTTCTCAATCCTTTTTTCTTTCTTTCATTTCATAGTTGGAAACAAAGGACATACAAAGTGTTTTATCCAATATTTGTTTTTTGTTCTGTTTAGGTGCCATTTCCTATGCACTTTCCGTTCACGTCGGTCAATATTATGGTGAAGGCGAAGAAGAACTTAAACGAACTCTTGTTACAACTACACTAGTAACTGTTCTATTCACAATACTTGTTCTAGGTGGTCTAACCATGCCTGTAGTAAAATTTATTCGACGACATACATCATCATCATCTCATCAACGTTCATTAGAATCATTAGATGATATGAATTTACATGCAATGATGAGTAAAACAATTCAATTTGATGACTTACTTAATGATGATGAAAATTATATGCATCAAAGAAAACATAATATAAATGATGATGATAATGATAATTATGAAATTCATTTTGCTAAACCAAATACTATGAAAGGTTTAGAAAAATTAAATGAATTTTATATAAAACCATTACTTGTACGAAAATCATCATTAAAACAAAATGATGAACAAGATATAAAACAACATGATCGTAAACCATTATTATCATCATCGAATGGAAAGAAATCGTCATTTATTGATGATCTTGAAGATGATGATGATGATGAAGATGGTGAAGATGAATTACTTGTTGTAAATCAATTACGACAAGAAAATTTTCAATTAAAACCAATAAATCAAAAATCAAAAAATACAACACGAATAAATTTTACATCCCATGATACTTAACGTTTCTTTTCTATTTTGTTGTTGTTGTTGTTGATAAATGTTGTGAAACAAAAAATATAAATGAGAGAAAGATAACTATATATCTATATATATATATATGTATATTTATTATTCTTTTTTGTTGCTCTGTTCTATTTCGTGAGTAAAATATAAAACATAAAGAAAATAAAATAAACGATCTTTATATAAAAAAAAAAAACGGGATTATTTGGTCTTTATCAACAATTGAATTTTTTGCTCACTGTTGAGTGAATGAAAGTCGAGGCACTGGTGTGATAATTGTACCAGCTGAGAATGGTGTACTTTGAGATGATGATGAAGGGATCTTCTTATTGTATTTTACAGTATTACTAAAATAAAAAAAAGATATTCCATTTATATCATCATATATCAATTGATATATATATATTTTTTAATTTTTAGCTGAAGATAGTTCAGAAGTATACATTTTCTGTAGATATGCTTTAGCTCCAACGTACAATGTGATGCTCAAGATTGATTGTACACTTCATAAAAAATTCATGTAAACTTCAAAACAAACACCGATTTATTTTCCGATTTCGAAAAGAAAAAGTATCTTGCATCGTGTTTCAACTAAAGGTGTGAAGAACCAGCTTTAACTTCGGCTCTGGTCACTGGAATTGAAACTAAGAATTATAGTTAAATTTTCTATAATTTTTAACGAATTATGTTATAAAAGATTTAATTCGACTAAATTGTGAAATTGTTTTCCCTCAGTTAGAGTCGAGACCGCCTCTAAAAAAAAGAACTTAGTCACGCAAATCTCTAATCGAATTACTATACACAATGCCTGTTTCTTTCTGAAATCATAAAATGAACCATTTTTTGTTCTGAAATGTACATGAATTTTTTTATGAAGTGTCCAATCGATTTTGAGCCATACCAAAGGACATTATATTAATTATTTTTTTGTATCTGAATCGCATCTCAATACATTAAATCTCTGTTGAGATATTGGGAAAGCAAAGTTATCATTTTGTTGTATGATTCATGTTGAGCACTACTGTATGTCTTAAAGAGATAAAATCATTTATCAATATGTTAATTCTCACCTTCAAACGTCTTTTCTCTATATCCTGGAGCCGCCATGGCTGAGTGGCTGTGTTGCTCGATACATCATCACGAAGTATTGTGTTCAAACCTCAGTACACCAGTCATCGAATGACCTTGAATAAGTCATTAACGATTATTTGTCTCGGATCATCCATCCAATAGCATACAGACAACATTGTGACATGCACTTGTTCTCGTGACTAATATATGGTTAGTTGGGTGTGTATGGGAAGCACAAGAACTCTGCGTCAGGTCGGCCTTCAGCCCAGAGCTACAATTAGTCATAGTTGCATTCTTCTTTCTTCATCTATCTCTTATATTCTAGATATATGACACGACTCATAGGCAAATACAAAAGATACTTGAAATGTGAAAATTTCTATTTCTTAAGATTTTGTATTCATGAATGTCGCATAATATTTGCATTGGTTCACATCTCTATATTCAATCAATTATTCTACGCTCACTTCATAATATGTTTAATTAAACAAGTTATCTCGATACAAAATTTTTCTATTATCTATCCTTAAAAGCAGATTTTGAATCTCTCAATACGCACAAAATATTAGTAATTATGTCAACTTTCAATAATTTAATCTTGTATAAAATAATAAATGTCAGATTAACTTTACAAATTAATCTAGTCAGAAACTGACTTAACATGAGATAGAACGGAAATGATCAATTAAATGAAAGAATAGAAACAAAACAAAAAAGATTTTAAAACATGAGAGAAGTTTTTCTCTTAATACATTTGTCAATATAAACTATTATCTTGTTTTCTGTTTTCTTTTTTTTTCTTTCAATTTAATAACTTACATAGATAAATTACCATTACTTTCACTAGAAATTATACTAATATTATTTTCATCGTAAGGTTCTTTATAAATTCTCTTGATTTCTTTTCGTCTTATTTCAAGTTGATCACGTGTTAATTTAATTGGTGATGGTGGTGATAAAATAGGTAATGTTAAATTTATAGATGTATTCATTGATTTATTCGATATTGTTGATTGATAACCAGAATTATTAATATTAAAAATAGTATTATGTAAACATTGTACTATAGTACCATCATCTAGCATTCGACCATTTTTTGATTTATGTTCATGTGCACGTAAATATCGATAAACATTAACAATACCTTCTTCAGTTTTACATTTTAATAATACACAAATACGAGCACCATCTCTATCATACTATATATATATATAATTAACAATAGTAAATAGAAAATATTTGTCATTTTTAAAAAATAATACTTACAATCGTAGCATGTAATCGTTTATGTAGTACAAGTTGTTTAAATGTAAGACGAACCGTATCGGAAAAAGTTGGTTTAACAGCTTCACTAAAGACACATTCAACTGCCTAAAATCAAATCATTCAATAATATTTTAATTTAAATTTATTTTACGTAAGTATATATTTACTTTAAAAGGAAATAAATAAAATTGTTCAGGTAACCATTTTAATTGTGAAATATTAACATATAATGATGTACCATAATCAACTAGTCGAACACGTGCACTTGGTTGTTTAGTTACTGCTGGTCCTTCACTTTTCGATACTACTAATGCTCGATGCCAAGATGATTCATAATGTAATGCTACTAATTGACCAATATAAACTTCTCTTAATGATTCATAGCTAGTGGCAAATAATGAAAGTATATCAATAAATTGATAAAATTTTCGTTCATTTTCAGGTGAATATTCTCGTTCAACCCAAAATTCACCATCACTAGTTAATATATCATTTATAGTACAATAGAATTTCGTACCTAAATAATCCATACGAAGAAATACTATTTTAGTTAATAAAACTAATGATTGCAAATTCTCAAGATTCAAAAAAAAAAGAAACGTCAAATATCCAGTAGAATACTTTTGAAAGTAAATACTTGTTTTATCACAACATTTCTTAACCAATTCTATTAGTTTACCTCTGTTTCGTTTCCATTCGATGATTTCTCAATTCCGTCCTAATATTATCAATTATTACAATGATTCATAATTATATTTAATATAGAGAAGAGAATAACTTGTATCATAAAGAATCACAAGAGAAATACAAAAATTATTAACATTTATGAGACACAGCAGGACTCGTCTGGTTGGTCTCAGACTCAGTCGGATCCGAAAATTTTGGATCCACAGGCTCTAACACACACATCCACGTTACTTATTATTCGTTTTTCGTATTCAATATGTATGTCTTAACAATGATTGCTGATACGTCATTTGGTTTAAGTTAGATTGTTATATGGGTTCTGCTTAACGAGTGATCATTCGAGAATGAATTCGTTAAATAATTAATCATGAAAATTAGTGAATGTCTATCATCTCGTTTAAATTTGATGAATTATGACTGAACTGGAAAGAAACTGAAACAGAGGCTGCTAATAATATTCACTTTAGAAAAATAATGCTCCTACGTTAACTAAGGCAAACAATAGTTTTAGTCCAAAGAAAATCAATATTTTGCAAAGGTCAAACAGTTTGAGAAAGATATTTTTTAGTTCGCTGAATTAAAAACTATTCAAACCATTGGTAAATTGCATTAGTTCACCATCAAGAATACATAAATCTGGTACTCGTTGTTCAATTAGTGATCGTAAGTCTTCACTAATATCATTTGATAGATTATCATCGATTATATTTAGCTGATGGTCATGATTGTTCCTAGAAAACACAAAAAAAAAATTACCATATGAAATAGAATCTTTCAAATTGCTTTGCTTTATAATCAATGATGTATTTGTTGGTTCCATTGACGATGCAGATGAAGAATTTGATTGAGCTATGAATGAAGAAGTTGTTTTATTTGGTAATGATTGCTCATATTTTCGATATAATTCATAACGTTGGCATTCATGTTGTTCATGTATATTCATTAATTGTAGATCATTTAATATATTCACAGTTGTACTTGTCGTAAATTTACGATTCGTTTCGTTTAATTTATCTATTAATAAAACAAAAACAAAAAAAAAAGAATTATTTTTTTTTGTTTCTTATAAAAAAATAAATATTCGTTTATTTACCAATTGTGTCTGATTGTTTTTTAATATCTTCAGTCATTATTTTAAATGAATCTAGAATTAACAATAAGAGAATTTTTTATTTTTCTTTATCTATACAAGAAAAAAAAAACACAACAGAATATAGAACAAAAAGAAAATCTATTTTAATATGTATCATCAGATTGTGTCATTTCATCTAAATTATGTAATTGATGTTGTCGATTACGTTCTGCTTCTGTTGAATCATCAACCCATGATACTTTTACTTCTAATGATGAACTTTCATCGATTGTTAATTTTGCTTGTTGAGCAAGAAAAAATGAACGTGAAGACATCATATTTATTCTTGATGATGATGCCGTAGAAACAGTATTTGATGATAATGATGATGATGATGATCTTTGATTATTAAGTAAAGTTGGCATTAAAATATCAATATCTGACATTAATCGATCAACATTAATTTGTGATTCTGTTGGTGGTAATTGTGCACTAATTTTATCAATTTGTGTATCAGTTAATGTTTGTTCGAAAACAGGTGGACGTGGAACATTAGAATAACGTTTAAGTAAAGAAAATGGTGAAAGAGCATATTCAGAAATAATTGAAGGTGTTGATGTACCAGATCCAGGTGTTCGACGAAGACGAGGAGTATCATCTTGCTAAAATAATAATGACTCATATCATCCTTCTTAAAAATAATATAATGGAATCTTTTCAGTCTAGTATTTAGTTCTGACCAGAAATGGAAACTGAATTGAATTATTTCGACAATTCAATTCGGCTCAGGTGAATTGTATCGTATGTAATTCTCTTTATTCGATTCAACAGAGATCTCTTCGTTAAGTCTCGAACACGAGCAATAAAATTCACTTCAGTACAAACTTCGCATTCTTTATGCTTTACGCTTTTAAAAATTATATTGATCTCTTTGCGTGAAAAGTCTACTAGTTCAATTATTGCTTGTATTCCCATTAATTTATTCTAAGATTGATAGTTTTAGACGAAACAGATATATGTGTAACTGTTTTTATGACCACTTCTCTTTTCACATACCTAGTAGAGTTTTTCTAGTTTTATGTAATGTTTAGAACTGTTGAGCAGGATGTCGATATTTTGCATCCTTTTAGTCAGCACATGAATAGAAGTCTATTATTAGTATGTCGAGTGTTTACTAGTTCGATTGCATGATCAGCAGTACAGTTACAAAATTAATGTAGATTTTATAGTTTATTATTTTTCTACATATTCTGATTTGTTAATTGAGATGACATATGATTTTCGCAAACTTGACTGAAAATCAAATATCGAAGTTTTCTAATTCAAAGACTGTGAAATTGAGTCAGCCAAGATTATGAATTGTTACCTGCGGTTTAGATCAGAAAATTGAAATAGAGTTTGACTAAGAATAGAAATTAATTTACTCCTTTTCGTAATATGTGTGTCTTTCTCAAACAAGAAGATATTTATATTAGCATTCATTATGCAAATTTAGAAACTATTTTATTTATGACAATGAAGAAATTGTCTTTTTTTTGTAACTGGTTCGATTAGTATTGGTAATCTGTCTTAAAAACAAAAATAAATCAATGACATACAAGTAGTGTTTGATCAACATTAAAACTGTTTGTTTGTTGACGTGTTAATGATGCTGATGATAGTATAGATAAATTTGAATTACTATTTTTCTTTTTATCATCTGTTAAATTTTGATTTAAATCTTGTCTAAATTGAAAATTTCATTTATAAAAATAATTCAATCTTTTTAATTTTTACTTTTCATCTCGATCAAATAAACATAAATAATCATTTTCCAATACAAGTTCATTTTTTTCACAACAATCTAATAACCATTGTGGATTAACAATATAAGCACTAAAATAATAAAATTCATTTCCGAACGGAAATTAATAAATTGAACTTTTACTTTGGTGCAATAATAGATACTTGAGTATAGTTTGAAGTAGGTTCATTACCTCGAATAATATGTGTTACTGATGTATTGAGTGTATCAAATCTAAGAAAAAGAAAACAAAAAAAAAACCTATCAAAAGTTTAACATAACGAAGAATCAATATACCGAACAGCACATCCACCATCAAGAATTTTTTGCATACGCATTCGTAATGTTGAAGAAAATTGACCTAAGAATATCTAGAAATCGAAATCATTATTTTAATCAATTTAATATTTAATTTACAAACCTTTAAACCATCAAATAAATCATCTAAAATTTTTTTCGATCGATTATTCATCCATTTATCAAAACGTTCTTCAAGATCATTCATTTCTTCTATAGTTAGTAATGATGTTGATTTACGTCGTTGATCAACAGTAATAATTTTTGATGATGAATCAATTGTATCATTCATTAAAGGTTTTTCATTTTCTATAAATTGAAATATTAAATAATGATAATTTAATTCAAAATTAGAAATAACCTTTACTACTATTTGAATCAATATTTGGTGTTGGCCATAAAAAATTCGTTAAACGAAGACATGAACCTTTTTCACTACTTTCAAAAATCCATTCAGGTTTAAGTGCTGGAATTCGCCATTTAATTGCATGTTCAAATTTTGAACCTAAATCAACAAAATTTCATCTAATGAATATCTACATGATGTTCCAAAAAGTCCGTTGGGAAAACTAACGTCAATATCTTTTATACAATTCCAACGTTTTAATTGATTTCCGAATAATATGTAGACATGCTCTTTAAAGTTTTGTTATGTATACTTCCAGATAAATGTTTGTGCTTATTAAAATTAAAATAAGAATAGCTTCACCTATGGTTGTGAGACGAAAACTATTAGTCGAATTCGACAAAAACACACTAAGTGAAGATTGCATTAAACTTACATTTCAATACTTTTGTAAAACTGGCACAGTCAAAGATCGAGAATATTCTGTAAGATTGTCAATAATTATAGAAGGAAAAATCGATGAAGTTCGTGATGTTTTCTGAAAAATAAATCACAATCAAGTGTTTGAGCTGTTGCAAAGATCTGCTCCATTCCACGAACAACAGAGCACCAAATTGTGACTGAATACCTTTTCTTGAAATCATACAAGATGTAATTTATTCTTGGAATGAAGCAAGTTTTTTGTAATAGCTCGAACATTTGATTGTAGTTCATTTTTCACAAATATCATACACTTCGTCGACTTTTTTCTTCTATAATTTTTAACGATCTTACAGAACATTTTCGATCTTTCACTGTACTAGTTTCACAAAAGTATTGAAATGATAATTTAATGCAATCTTCAATTGTTGTGTTATAGCCAAATTCGACTTGTAGGCTTTTGTTTTTTCAAATCTTTATAGGTGCATCTATTAATCTGAAAATATACTCAACAAAACTTTAAAGAACATACTTATCTACTGTACGAAAATCAATTAAATCGCTTGAATTGTATAAAAGATATTTAGATTAACTTTTTCGACAGATTTCTATGACACTCTATATATTTATTTCGAAAGTTTACCTTTTGGTTCTTTACAAATCAAATGAGTACATTTATCTTTAATTAAATTTGGTGAATATGTTGCACCTTCTCGTTCAACATATTGTTTAATTGTATTACGATCTCGTTCAGCAAAACCCGATAATGAAATAATAAATTTATAAAAAAGTGGACATTTAAAACGATCAAAGGTTGAATCCGTTCCTTTTACTGTTCTATATAACAATAAAAAATAAAACTAATTTAACTCTCAATATTTTCTCATTACTTTTGTCCTGAAAGTACGAGTACATTTTGAATCCATTCTGGCATCATTACTTGAATTCCATTTTCAACGGCAACCTTTATTTTAAATCATTAAATAAAATTTTAAAAAAAAAAGAAAATCAATTTCTTAAACTTACAAAATATTTTTCTGATGTTGCACAAACTCCACATACTAAATGAGTAACATTTGCATTAAGATTTGTTTGAAATTTACCACCCATATAAGCAACAGATCGACGAATTTTTTCCTATTAAATTATTAAAAAAAAATTACATTTTCAATTAGAAAAATTAATTCTTACACGATCAGCATGTGGAAGATTTGTACAACAAATAGTTAATGATTGCATAGCAAGTGAATAAAGAGGATAAGAACTGCATGGAATTGTAATATTATGATCAACACACGTTGTAATTAATTGTGGACCAAGAACCCTTTTTATTTGTTTGTTTTTTTTTTTTAGTAAATAAATAGAAAGATTAAATTTTTAAAGATAAAAATCAAGATGAATTTTTTTTTACCAAGCTTTATTAGTTTTTAAATACTGAAATAATTGACCAGAAAATGGTTCAATAACAAACATTTTTCCTTTTAAATCTTTCATATTAATCATAGTTTCTTCATCAATCATATGTGGTTGAAAATTACTTGATTCAAGTAACTGATCACCAAAAAAAAAAAAAAAAAATAAAATCTCAATCATCAATTTAATGTCTGAATTTTGAAAACTTACTTGAAAAACACTGTTTAATTTTTCTCCTTGCCATTGAGCATGTAATGCATTAGGTTGTAAAACAAAAATTGACATCTTTTTTGTTGTACTCATTTTATTTGTTTCAGATGTTAACGAAGATTTTACTATCTATTTTTTTTTTCATAATGATATTGGCGACATGAAAACTAAGTTCTATGTCTTTAATTTTATTGGTTAAAATTCAAACGCGTCAAAAAAAAGAAAAACCTGGATTGAAGAAAGAATGGAAGAAAAAGTGAAAAATCCAATCCAATTCTTGAATGTCTGAAATTCTTTTTCTTTTTTTTTGTTTGACAAAAAAGAGAATCAACAGACGATCAATCTCTACAGTGTAGTGTGTGACTTTTTCTTTTTTCTTTCTACGACGTTAAATTTTCATTTGTATTCTTGAAGATACAAGTAACTATAGTAGAGGAGGTTTACTGCATCGCAACACGTTCTATTTTGAATACAATCATGGCGAGTAATCAAAAGAAAGGTGCTGATCCTAGACGAGCTTCTTTAACGACTGAATCTAGTCGTAATAAAAAAAATGTTCATCCTCATGAAACATGTAATATGCGTCATT